AAACCAGGTACCAAGGTTTGCACCACATAAGTCAGCCATGGCTGCTGCCCTTGCCAAAGACATGGTTGACCCACAGTGTGTTAAGGCCATCAATGCCTTGCTTGCAAGCATGCTACCTGTCAACCAGCAGGTGGACCAAATGGTAGCTAGTTTCAAAAAATATGGCTTGGCTTACACATGCACAGTCAACCCAAGTGAAATCCTTTGCCATCCCCACAACAGAGCCATTGAAGTGTTGTCCTGGGTGGACATGCGGGACAAAGGCACCAAGATGTTGAGCATTGGGATGAAGAAGCAATTCTTGGGAGAATCCATTGCCATAGAGATCAGCACTGACAGTACCACCAGAAAGGAGCAGCTGGAGGCCAACCAGAAGCTGATCCAGGAATCCACAGGGGCCATGGCACCCATGAATGGCACAGAACGTTTCTTTGGCAGCATTTATGTTTTGGTTCTGAAATTAAAATTGTTGTTTTGTTCCAACATGCACCAGCCCAGGCTTTCTGAGCTTGTCCACAAGCCACACCACAGCTTTCTTGAGGGCCATCAACCATGGGTGTCTCCCAGAAGGGCAACCAGCTTGTATTTTTCAATATATTTGGTTAGGTTTGATTGTAAATCCATTATCTTCAAGTAAATGTTGTTGCCAATAGTTTCCACCTGCTTTTATTGCAGCCAGACTGTCAAGAGTTTCCATTGAATCCATTCCCACTTGGACTATTGGGTGAGCCATGGTCAACATTTCCATTGATGACTATACCATCAGTGAAGGACCATTGGGACGCCACTTGGTGCTTTTCTTCAATGATGGCACCAGCCAAAGGTAACTTGGATGTTATGGCAAGTAATCCATGGATTTCATTGCATGCAACATCCAAGCCACCATAGGGTTTCCATAGTTGAAATGGGGGCTAAGGTACCCAGTGCCTGCTCCCAATCCAGAAGGGTCCATGAGGACCAAATGGACACTGGTGACCAATATCAATGGAGAGAAGATCCAGCATAGGGTCCATCAAGCTCCAGGCCATGCACTCCAGATGATTGAGGTGGAGTACTTGGCCAAGCTCATCCATGGGAAGCCCATTGAGGAGACCACTGCATTGGCCCACCATTGGTTCAATTGAAACCATGTTGGATTTCCAGACAAGAGCGTTGAGGTTTAAAAAAAACATCTGTGTTTGATTTTTTTGCCATCAATGGCATTGCATCAATATTGGTATATATATATATAATGTGTATATATGGTAATTAAAACTATTTCCTTTTGATTGTCAGTGATGACATCCAAGAACTTGCCAGTGATGGCATTACATCAGACATACCATAACTACATGTTGCCATATATGGCATTGCATCAGATATAGCATAACTAAATGTTGCCATATATGGCATTGCATCAATGTGTGTGTTTTTGTTTTTTTTGGTGTGGTTTGATTTGCCATTCATGGCATTGCATCCATTTATTTTGTTTCATGGTTGTCATTCATGGCAGTTCAAGTAAATATTTTGTTATGATTTCACTATGGTTTTGCATATTCATGATTGTGAAATTGGTTCATACATGGTTGCAATTTGGCTTACCAACATCATTTTTGCCATTGCATGTACAAGCATGCTCAGCGATAAATAATATATAGTATAACATTAGAAAAACAGTTAAGTTCAGAATTCTGAACTTAACTTCAAAATTTCCAGAGTTAGGTTCAGAATTCTGAACCTAACTTCCAAATTTCCAAAGTTAAGTTCAGAATTCTGAACTTAACTCCAAAATTTCCAGAGTTAGGTTCAGAATTCTGAACCTAACTTCCAAATTTCCAAAGTTAAATTCAGAATTCTGAACTTAATTCAAAAGGTTCAACATAAGTTCAGAATTGTGAATTTATGATTTTGATTCTTTTGGGATTATGTCTTGTGAAATCATTTACGAATAATTTTATTAGTCTAGAATAATTCATGGTTGATTCAGATATGTTTGTTCTCAAATAATTATTTATATTTCAGCATATATAAATTTATATATATAGTTGAACAATATTACTACTAAATATAAATATATATACATAATCATTTTATTTACCAATTCGACCACAATCTCCCATAGCCATGGCTTCTTCCCATGATGATGTCACCAGGTCATTTTTGACCACAGGAGACACCATAGAGAACCAACATATCATGGAAGGATGGGAGAGGCAAACCATGGCCATGTTTGACAGGCCACCAGAGCCAGATGCAGATGCCTTTATTGCCACAGTAGAAAGAGCCATGATGGCAAAAGAAGACCATAGGGACAGGACTGGAGACCATAGTTGGGAAACCACCCAGATGGAAACAGAAGATTTGGCCAGTGCCCAGGCCATGGAGGTCCAGTGGTACCAGGACCAGGATGAACACATGGAAATTCCAAATGATGCCTCCAGCACATGGGACAGGTATTGGGACCACTACCCAAGACCATTCTCCAATACACCATGGTGTGGGGAAGCAAGGGGGACAGTGGCATCAAGTTTTGCTTTTTGTGTGCCAACATCAGGGCCAGTGGCACCACAGAAGAGAACATGCATGAGAATACTAGAAAGTATGACCAGCTAGTATTGACCACAAATGGCCAAGTTTTAGAATCATATGCTCAACTGCATGCTAGAAAAGCCATTTGCACCAAAGCCAACTTTGAGCTTTGGGAAAAGGCCACAGGCTGGACCTACAGCCCCTTGGCTTTGATGTTGGATGACCAATTGAAAGCCATGAAGTTACTGCAGCCTTGCTCCCAATTTACTCATGATTACATGCATGGTGTCTTGCAAGGCACAGGCCCCATTGCATTGTTTCATTTTTTGTGTGCCATGGACACAGAATTGCAGGTATGGCAATTTTTGGAAGGTTACTTTAAGCACTGGACTTTCCCAAAGCAGTGTAAAAGCCAGCATGTGGGCACATATTTTTCCAAGAAAAAAATGGTTAGCCACAAAAACAACCAAAAATTTTCTTGCCAAGCTTCAGAGCTGCTAGCAATCTTTCCAGTGGTTCGACATTTTGTCCATGCTGTGTGTATGCCAAGGGGTCTTTGCTTGCCAGCTAGCCAAGCATGCCTTGCAATGGCAGCAGCCATTGACCAAGTTCATGATGGAAACCAAGCTGGTGTCATCAGCAGAAATACTCTGCTGCCAGCCATAGAGACATCCATAGAAGGTTTCCACACAGCATTCCCTGCCATACCTTTGATAAAAAAAAATGGCATTGGCAACTGCACTTGCCAGATGCCCATGCCAGATTTGGAAAATTACCAGGTTGCTTTGCCAATGAGAGAAAGCACATGCCCATTGGTGCCATGGCAACTTTGCTGCACAACCAGAAAAATTTTGAAAAAAACTTGCTGGAGCAGGTTCTGGCACAAGAAATGTGCACCTTGGACACACCAGATCTGTTCCAAGATGGTGTGTTCCTAGTGAACCCAATAAAAGCTTCCAAGAAGACATTGCAGACTCTCTCCAGCATGCTTGGTGAAGCCATGCCCCATGCTCCCACTAGCCAGCAGGCAAGTGTGAACCACACTGCTTGCCACAAAGGTGATGTTGTTATTTACCAAGCAGGCAGCACTCTTGGCATTGCAGAGGTGCAACTCCATTTGCTTTTGAATGGTGTAGTGACCACTTTGGTCCAGCCTTGGCAAGTGAAAGAATGGTTTCCAAACCAGCAATATGCATTGTGTACCATCGACACCGACCCAGGATTTGTCACCACTGCCAGCATCTTGACAGCTGTGATTTGCCATAAAGGTCATCCAGAAGCCAAAGTGCTTCTGCCATATCCCATTTGCATCAAACTATTGGCTTAAACATGTACCAAAAAAAATTACCCAGCTGCTGCCAATTTTGGCATTGCATCATCAGCTTGGTTTAGCACATTGGCCCCACATGGCAATTAGCATTTGACATGTTGCCTGATGTGGCATTGCATCATACAAGTGACAGGTCTTATGCTGTTTTTTAGTTTTTTAGTTGGGAGGCTATTGGAACATTTTGTTTTTGGAAGGCATTCTTTTGCAGCAATTGGTGTGATGTGCTGCATGTGTTGCTTACTCTTACTTTCCTTTTGCTACAAAATGCGGATTCATTCTTTTTTGAATAAACAGCTTGATTTCAAATGATTCTTGGTACGTATTTGGTTTCATTCTTTGTTACACAATGTTCATATTGAATTACATACTTTCTTTTTGAACATACCATGACATTCATCCTGGACAATTGTCCCATATATATGGCTCAATGTTTCTCTTTGAAAATTAAAGCTTTGGTAGCCTGTTGATGCCAGCAAACCTTTTTTTCCTTGAAGTGGAAAGCGTTTTTTCTTACATTCAAAACAACACAAAAACAGAGTTAGCAAGAGTTATAACTAGTTAGCTAACTCAACATAACTCTACATAATTAACATAACTCTACATAACTAGTTATAAAAAACGGGACTATGTAAGTACCTGTCCAGGTTCCAATTTGCTCGGATCGCGTCTGGGGTCAGTGCATTGAACAAATGTTTGACAGAGATGTAGGCAATCTCCCCTCCCATGCCTCCCAGGAGAGGTTGAAAGGATATATGGAGAGCCCATAGAGCCGGCCCCGTTATAGGCTAGTTTCTGGACTTATAGGCTAGTTAGCCTTTCAGCCATACGGTGTGTTTTTGCACGCCAGGTAGTCTTGAACCACACTAGGCATCCTAAATGCTCACTTGCTTGTGCCAACTAAGCAATTTGCAAGGAAAGCGTGTAAGGCAGCCAAGTTCGCCAGACACTTTCTTCAAAGGGAAAAAAAAGCGACCTTGAGCCACGCATCCTAGAGACGCTTATTGTTACCAGGTGCGCCAACTAGACAAAAAAGTCTTAGAAACGGGCACTTATCCATTATCCCAAGCAATACAGATAGAGCTTGGCCAAAGAGAAAACACTTCCCAACCCACCCGCCCAAGCGTTCAGTAGCTGGCATTTTCCACATGCCAACTGAAACTCGTCACGTTCCAAGCGCAGTTCTCCCAAACCAGTGCAGGCTCACTGCAGTGGCGTAATGGTATAGCGCTGCAGTGCTCATCGTTCTGGTGTGAGTGTGGCTCAAGATTTGCCTTGACGGTTGCGGCCAGAAAACGGATCGGTGAAGAAAGAAAAACACACACACACAGGGGCGGAAAACAAATTGGAACAAGCTGCTTAAGTTTTCCCATCAGGTCCTCATCTAGCATGAGGCCGTAGTAAAGGCAATTTCCAGCCATGGGCACCCAATCCAGGAACCTCAGTTTTTAGGTTCTCTTGTTGGCTTTCTTTACCCGCAAAAACTTGCACGATGGACTCACATGTAGATCATGTAGTATGTGGCACATATAAATAGGGGAACAAACAGCGTAAAAACATGCACGCTGCCAAGTGGCAAATGTTCCATTTGATGGCTTTTTGGATAAACCGGCCAAAGTAGTTGCTGTTCTTCCAAGGACTTGTTGGCAAGGACTTAGATCTGCAAAATGGGATGGAAAAAACAACGCCAACATTAAGAAATAACATTGCTGATTGACCCTTTATGTAGATTGATAGATGCCTCTTAGCTAACCCGTAAATAACAACCCCGGATGAAATACAATGTTTACTAATTATGGTGGCACCCCCAAATCGTGATAATCTGATACAAATGGTACCACCCAAATTGAGCAGCGGTTGGCATTAGATTAGAGGACAATTCTTTCATGGATCAGTGGGTGAACACAAAAATAAATGAGAAAAGGGTATATTGTTTGATGATGTTTTTGAATCAGTGGAAATTGCTTTACCTTTCTTTAAGCCTTACTGTTCATGGGGCCAAAACATGTACAAACAAAACATACTTACTGACAGAAGTTTTACTTGTATAGGACTTGTATAGGTTACTTGCTGAATGGGATAAGTCATTTTGGTCAGTGGGGCCCAAATTGAATTTGAATCGTCCAGGAAATCCGTCTTTGATAGAGGTTATTGTTATCTTTAGCCCAGAGGATATGGAATGGGAAGACAACAATTTTTCGTGGCTCAATTGGGCAAAAAATATGTTCGACTTGATTTTGGGAAATAATTTCAACCCATAACGTTGACCAGGCACAGGTGGCAGCCCTTCTCCACTGAAAGTAAGCCTTCTTGAGCTTTTCCACGGGTTCGTTGCTTCGAAATGATGCCCTGCAGCGACCATCCAACCAATTTTGAAATTTGACCCAGTTGTCACCAGTATAGTATAAAGATCTTCAAACTTAAGATTCACTTCCGGAACTGGTATATTTTTCCCCTTAGTTAGATCCCACAATACGTATTTTTTGCCCATAGGCGCCTATCCCATTTGGGGAAATCAACTAAGTAACTATTAATGTTCAGGCAGGCCACCCATGCTTGGACAGTGTGGAATGGATAGTCGACAAAGCTAAGAAGACGTTTGCCCTATGCCTCAATTTCTCTGCAGGTGTATTGGGGTTTGGCTGAACATGGGCACCCTTCATGAAAATCATGTTCCAGGTGAAAATAACCAAGGATATACCGCATGTTAAACAAACCCTCATCGAAAGAAAATCCAAGATGGGGTTTCAGTGTCAGTTGTCGAACTTTGAGTTGTGACCTGAAAGAAAATGGAGACAACAATATATATATATATTATATAGTTTCAGAAATCCCATCCCCTTAAAAAGCTGATATATGCTGATACATTACCACATTCCAAAATACAACAACTGATAATCTCATTGGATTTGTTATCTTCCCTCCAATCGATCCAAATTTGTATTGCCAAAGAAGTCAAAAACCAAGCAGCTTGTCGGGGACAGATGCACCTGGTTGAGAAGCGATTTTCTCCAAGATGAGGGCCATCCAGAAAACAATCATCCGAGCCGCAGCACCTTTCAGGATCTTCTGTGAGATGTGGGCATAAGCAGTTGTTGATGGGGTAATGACATCCAAAGTGAACAGTTTCCTGCTCGCACGGGCAGCATGTGGAACTCCTAGGCTGAAACCCCGGTAATTTAAAAAATACAAGTTTCTGGCTTCGATTTGATATGTTTGTGAAAAAACCCTGAAGTCCGGTGGAAATACAAAAGGTTACAAAAATCACTAAATGAGTTATCGTGAAACCGCTTTCCATACACCACTTCTCATAGTCAATCCGCAACTCTTCCAGAAGCTGCTTTTTGTTTCCCCCTTGGACAAGTTCAAAAAGAGCACTAGCAACTGCATCCGGGATCATTTGGAGGTCGCAGATGTGAAGTATGTCTGGATAGATTCCTTTTGGGCCACGTTCGGCATGAGGAAATCATTTAAGCTTTGGGGCTATTTTATACCGTAACATGAAACAGAAACCGAAAAATCAAAAGTTGCTGGGCCCTTCAATCAACAGAGTGTCGGAGAGGACTGAACCCCGGGATGTCGGTAAATGGGGTCCTCCCGTGGACCCTCAGCCATTCTTCTTTCGTTTTGATCAGCCTCATGGCGCTGTTTCCAAATCAATGGGTCCAATGGTTTACAACCCCAATGATAAATTTAACAATCCTCTTGCGGGTATTTGGGTAATCAAGATGAAAAAGTTATATAATTCTTATCACATCCCCTATGGACTTTGGAATATAATCAATATAATCACAAACCCCGTGGAGGTGGGGCCCCACGACCAAGTTGGCCTGACACCGACACCCATAAAACTACCGGTGCCAGGGTTGTAGACCTAATTGTGGCTGAGGGACCAATCTTGTACAAAACCTTATCGGGGCACATATGCCATCAAAAAAACAAAACGGTATCAGATCCATTTTGATCTATCTTTGAACTAAAATTCAATAAGACACCAATTTACAGCGTTGGGATGCGGCGCAATTGTGCCATGGAACGTGCTGCGATGAGCTGCTTCATCACCGTATGCTGTGAACAGCAGTGATTCAGGTTCCTCGCCTTCAAGTGCCCGTACGGCACCGCAGTAGTGACAGACATGCCTCCTGTAGGCATGCCACGAACCTCAAGAAAATTTGTTAGGCCTGAAAAAATGATCATCACTTGTGGTATCGTAGCAACAGTTTTATCAGTTTAAACTGGGTCAGGGGAAAATTCAAAAAACATACAACTGTATTGACAAGAGAAACGTTGAAGTTTGAACACTTTGTGAATGAACTCTTGATCTGCTTGCACCCCATCCAGACATCCTTTCCACCCGTCTGCCAGCAACATACCTGCTTTCCTCCAGAACTTGGGGTGATATGACTCATCAAAGTCTCGTTGCCAGGGATCCGCGTGTGGCCACACACCGGAGCCTGTAGGGCAAACCATTTGTGGGGATCGAAAGACTTGTTGTTGGGACCCTTTGTTGTTTAGAATCAACCCATGATTAATAAACCCGTAGTTTGGGGGTACCATGTAATGGGGAAAACATTCTTTTGGGATTCCCTCATATTTCTCATATTAATAATCTAATGGTTTATCGAGATGACATTTTATTGGTCTTGCAGCTAGACACCACAAAGGAACAAACAATGCTCTCACCATTCCAGGCTGCACATGGCAGTAAAACTCCAAGATATCCACGCCAAAATGGTGGCGTGGCACTCCGCACCAGTTGTCACAGTGCTGCGAATGCAAATCCTAGGTGGCTTTGATGGTGGCCGCTATCTGGATTGCACTGCTCTTTATGGTTGCAGCTGTGAAAACAGGAAGCTTAGCTGCATGCAAGCCACGGAAATCTCGTGTCCCTTGAGGACGTCCCAGTGCCCAAAATTGAGACCATTGAAAACAGTTCAAAGTTCTGGGTTCCTGAGAGGTGGGATCCAAAGTTTTGGGGTCTGGAGATGAAATTGAAATGCTACAAGACTTTCAGGGTTTAAATTCCACACAACATCATGAGCAACAGCTCTATTGGACGCGCTGGATTCAACATCAAAAATGCAATCTAAGCTTTAAGAACAGCAAACATGGGGTATACAGGATTTAGGGGTTTACATATGGCATACCTCACGGGATACTTGTATACTTGACCTCGTTAACAAGTATAAAGATTTCTAGGTTCCAAAGATGGCACACCATACTCCGGGGATATGGATATATATATATATATCATTATTTATATATACATATATGTAAGTATATGTCATATGTATATATAGACATATATATATATATATTATTTTGTTTAGTGCCCTAAGATGGCTTTTGCAAATAGCTACAAATAGCAGATTTTTTTTTGCATTTTGTCGTGACCCGATAGACGGCACACACTGAACCAACATATGAGGTTGAAATTTCACTGATGCCATCTTAGTGCGTGTGCCGTTTGTGCCAACTATTTGGGGGCCCCTATATATACCCCCAAGCTTGGCACAGGAAAAATCAACCAAACACAGGAATAAAACAGCCAAGCCTCCCAAGACATCAGCCCCATCACCATAGAGACGAAATGGGACGGCTTTGATCACATCACCCATCGGGTCCTCTCCCCAAGTCTGGACGGCAAGCTCCCTGTTCCGAGGTTGTTGCCAATACTCCTCCAGATCCTTCAGAGCGACATCAAGGGGGCGACAATTTCCATCCAGCGGATCCCAAACTGCATTGGGTTACTCAGTGCAGTAAAGGTTCCTGAGGGGTACCCGCAAATAGACTGTAGAAGTGGACGCCATTTCGCCAGTGATAGAAAGAAGCAAAGAGGTCATGGGGCAAATACATCCCAATCTTCACATATTGGATTCCGCCAGGCTGCGGCTTTACCTACAAAGATGTTGTGGAACTAACATAGTTTTTCAGCGGGATCAAAGCATCAAAAAAAAACAGACAATAGATGGGGCAATTTGGCAAGGTGCTTTTGGGACTTCAAACGTAAGCATGTCAGGGAAACATTGACGGAATTCTTGTTCACTGCACCATGTTTGAAAAGCACGTTCGTGCCCCCAACCACCGCTACTGTCAAACTTCCACGCGAGATCCAGAATCGGTCTCCTTGGGCGAAGTTGGGCAACAGGTTGACCTATATGTTTGATCAATTTCAACCCTTAATTATATTTTTTGGTGGTCTGATCCAAAATATCCAAAGGTCAAGATTCGGAACCAAGTACTCTGGTAACTCCAAGATGGTCTTGAGCTGTTTCGACAAAGCAATCATAGACCCCTGTCGCAAGATTGGGTTGGAACAATGTGGAAATAAGAAAGCTGCCGGGATGGGATTCAGATCAACAGATTTACCAATGTGATTGTTTAATTTTATATGCGGAAGCTTGGCCTTCCCCGCCATGATCATCTCCATCAGGTCACGCACCAGTTTGTGAATACCCGTTGATGGGTCAGCAGCCGCAGCCTCCCAGCAGTATAGGGTAACAATGTTGTTATTTCTTTGAATGGGGGAGCTTTCCCTTAAAATGGGACATCATTTTACAAAACTATAGTAGTTAGCTGGGCCAAGCACTGGCTTCAAAGACTTTTTTGTCCGTGTTGCGTGTGGTTCTACGCATCTGGTCTAAGCCATCACAAGATCCCCAAAGGATCAAGCCAAAGCAACTTGCACTGCAGGTTTTACACAGTGCATCCTAATGCCAAGGCATTGAATCCATAAACCCTGGCCCAGCCGATCTCATCGGAACAGCTAGGATTCAGCTGCCCAAAAGCTAAAAGCTATGCAGCCACTGACAACCCATGGTGTGGGCATCCAAATCCGGGTTTGTGAGCTGCCACGAACCCAGCCAAGGACGTACGTGGATCAGATCAATCCTGCCAGGGCATGTGCGCGGCAGTCTACACAACCGCATCCCGTTTGCAAAAGAAATCAGGTAATTGTGTTGAGACAGGGTGCCGCTGAATAAGCATGTACAATGAGGGGCCCCAGCCTCCTCGACATCCTCCAAAGCTGCAGTTGATGCAACTTCGCTAGCTGCCACTTTGCTTTCCCTTCTCCTCTGGCCTTTTGGCAAATGTTGATCAAAGCGATCTTTTACATAGGTTGCTTCTGCGTCGGAGTGACTCCATTTTGAATGGAAACAAGCTGAGGAAATGACGGCTGCGCAAAGTCCGGGCTGCACCTTTGGCGCTCTCCACCCTGTCTTCCAGTTCCTGGTGCAGACAGCGATGAGATGTGACTTGGCAAGTGGGCATGGACTCTGGACATGACACGTATCAGTGATAAAACTATAGAGCGCGTACATGTCTTAGTCTTAGTGAAATCGACCTCGACTTCAGCTTGTTTCCCTTTCCAGAACTGTTCGATCTCCACATCGGTCTTGCCGTTGATCGCCATGGATTCCATCCTGAGCATTTGCGGGCTCGGGAAAACAGTTAGATAAAAACGTATAATTGAGTACCCCACTCTTCGGCCAAATCGTTGACCCATGAATGCTTGTTCTTCAGCATGTCCTTGAGCTCCTCATGGAGGAAATGAACTGGTGCAAGTTGCATGTATTTATGCAAAATCGCTGTAGCAACTTACTTAAAGTTTGAGGCTTGGTAAATTATGTGAGTTTGAAACAGGCTGCACTGTGGCTTGCCTCATGGCCTTTGAACTGGCCCAGTTCTTGGGCCGCATTTCGAACCTTGCCGGCCAAGGCCCTGCACCTCACCGACAAGGCAACACCTATGGCAACTTGGAAAGTATGATGGTGCTGGTGAGGGCCGGGCGCTCTGTTGATTTTCTGCAACTTCGCCTTTCGCTCACGCTGGGCTTTGACCTACCAACGAGAACAAGTCAAATGTGGGATAACCAGTTGGTAATTGATAAGAATACCACCGTGTTTCCTTTTTTTGGGGATGCCCCAAAACTAAAAAGCATTTGTTATAAAGTGAACTGTGGAATATTTGAGAAGGAAAAGCAAATCGCCTCAGGAGACACTTCTTTGGGGCCCTTTGGTTTCTTATTCTTTTGTTTTTTTCTTTCCATCTCCTTCACTGTCACTTTCTGAATCTGAATCTTCATCATCCGATTTCTCCGCCTTCTTTGCCTTTTCATGTTTGGGACCCACAACAGCCATTTGATCCAGCATGGTTCCCAATGCCATGCGTGGGCATTCATTGGTGCTACTGGCATCCCCTGTAGCAACCACAGCCCCAGACCCAGTGATGGCCAAAGCCGCACCCGTGGCAGGCGCAGCACCCGTGCCCTTGGCAGGCGCAGCGCCCGTGGCAGGCACAGCACCCGTGCCGGTGGCAGGGGCAGTGCTCGTGGCAGGTTCAGTTTCACCATCCACCCCACGAGGCCCAGTAGGTAGGGTTCCAGTTGCATAGATCTTG